TGTCTCCTCCCCCTGACTCTGCCTGTCTCCTCCCCCTGACTCTGCCTATGGTATTTGGAAAAATTTCTTCTGCTTTTACACCAAGTTCTAGTATACGATGTTCAGTATTTAAACTATTTTTTTAAAGATTTATTTATTTATTTAATGTACACGAGTACACTGTCACTGTCTTCAGACACACCAGAAGAGGGCAGCAGATCCCATTACAGATTGTTGAGAGCCACCATGTGGTTGCTGGGAATTGAACTCAGGACCTCTGGAAGAGTAGCCGGTGCTCTTAACCGCTGAGCCACCTCTCCAGCTCCCCAGTATTTAAAGAGGTCAAAACAGTAGCAACACTTCCGTGTCATTAGGTACACTTGGCACCATCACCCTAACTTGAAGAGGTATTACAATGTTGGAGGGTCTAACATTCCTCCCTAATCCTAGAACGTTTTTTCCATAATTTATTTTAATTTGTGCTACACTGAATAAAAGGCCTACAAGGCTTTGGGTTAGATTTAATCTGCTCTCAGTTAATATAAGGAGAGTCTCCCTTGTTCTCTCTTTGTTTTTTATGGCTGCCGCCTCTGCCTCTATAGCACGGGATTAAAGGCACGCACCGCCCCTCTTGTCCTTGTTTGTTTTTCAGAAGGCTACAGTTAGAGGTTCCGCTGAGAACCTTAGAGACAAAGTCTTCCTAGTTTCTATGAGAAATGTATAACATTAGCACACATCACAGTGACATCTGGAATAAGGGCAGCTATGGTGTAAGGCCTCACACTGAGGCCCAGTATGAGGTACTGGTCCGACTTCTGGTACAACTGAGAAGATCTCAAAAGCCAAAATCAAGACCCTGAGCCCCAAGTCTGCCTTTCCAGATGAAACAAGTGCCCCTAGCTAAAAAGTCTATTCCATCAAGGGAATGAGGCACAGTGTGTGCTTATTACTACCTGGTCCCAGCAGCCCAGGGAACATCCAAACAAGCCAACTGTATGGTCCTGTGGGACCCAGGGGACATCTCATCCTCCCTAGGACAAAGGCAGCCCACCACTCTTCTTCCCAAATATAACCCATGTGGCTTTGTGTATTGTGTCACATCCTCCTCCCTGGGCTGTGAGCCATGAGGCGAAGAGACGGCTGTCAATCTCATCCGCCAAAAATTGTATGGCGTGTGTTCAGCCTCCAGAACCCTCAGGGATGAAATGAATCCTCCTTCGCCAAAGGGGATATTGAGAAATGACTAAAATATAAACACTGTAAGAAGACCTCCCACCAGGAACCCTCCCCACAACATGTCCCAATTAGTATTTCTCTTCCAAGCAGAAGGACAGAGATTTAGTGTCTGGAGAATTGAACCCACAAGGTTCCATCCAGACTGAGAACATCATGGCCAGAGTAAGAGGCTAGAAAGAGAAGGTAAACTATAAACTAAATCAAAGAACCTGTGTTCCTTTCCAACAACCTGTGGAAGTCAGTAGCCTAGACTAGAAAACCAGACACTTCTAGATGATAGAACCACAGGAGCTGGTGATGGTCCCCCTTCACTACCCTTCTGTGCCTCCCTTGGCCTCTGGATGTTCTACCTTCTTTGACATGTGCTGGGTCATGCTCAAGTCAACACATAGTCTTGGTCCTGAGTGTTTGGCTTCCAAAAGTTTCTCTTTGGTTAAGGCTTTCAAAAAACGTTTGCTGTGTTGTGGGCAGGTGCCTGTGACAGAAATATCAGAGATGATTAAGAATGGGATAGCACAGGCACTAAGATCAACAATTAATAAATGGGACTTCATGAAACTGAGAGGTTTCTGCATGGCAAGGGACATGATATTTGGACAAAGTGGCAGCCAATGAATGGGCAAAGATTTTTTTTTTTTTTACCAACTATACATCAGATAGAGAACTAATATCCAAAGTATATAAAAAATTTTTTTAAAAACTAGGTATCAAGAAATCAAATAATCCAATTAAAAATGGGGCATAAATCTAAACTAAGAATCCTCAATAGAGGAAACTCAGATGGTTGAGAAACAAAGAAATGTTCAACATCCTTAGCCATGAGGGAAATGCATATCAAAACTATGAGATTTCATCTTACACTCATCAGGAAGTCTAAGATCAATAACACAAGGGACAGCTCATGCTGGCAAGGATGTGGACCAAGGGGGACACTCTTCCGTTGCTGGTGGGAGTGCAAACATGGATGGCCACTATGGAAATCAGTGTGCCAGTTCCTCAGAACAATGGGAAATGATCTACATCAAGATCCAGCTACACCACTCTTGGGCATGTAGGCATATACCCAAAGGATGCTTCATCCCACCAGAGAAACTTGCTCAACCATGTCCACATTGCTGCTCTATTTATAGTCCTAGAAACTGGAAACAACCTATCCTTAACAGAAGAATGGATAAAGAAATGTGATACATTTACACAATAGAGTATTATTTAGCCATTTAAAAAAATTAAAAACGACATCATGAAATTTTCAGGTAAATGTATTAGTGTTAGAAAAAAAAATCATCCTAAGTGAGGTATCTCAGACCCAGAAATACAAATATGTTATGTATTCACTTATAATGTGGATATTAGCTGTTCAGTCAATAATAACCAAGCTAAAATCCACAGAACCACAGAAGTTATGTATAGAATAAGGAACTGGTGCACAGATAGATCTTGTTAGGTAAGAGTCATAGAACAGATATGAATGGATGGGGGGTTGCAGGAACAGGAGGAACAAGTGGGGAGGAGGAGAACCATGAAAGGGGGAAACAAGGAGACAGCTAAAATTAAGGCCATCTGAGGGGTAAGTATGAAAACTAATACAGTAGAAGCTTCCTACAATTTATACATATATGAAGGTGATCTAAATAATGGGGAGACAACAGTCCCAACTGTTTATCTCTTGTTACCAAATGAAACTTCCAGTACTGGGATTAGCTTACATCTGAGTTGTTGGCCAAAGGGGTCCCATAGGAATCTCCAAACAACCCAGGCTGTGACCAAGACTATAGGCTGCTCTCCACAAACTGACAGCAAGGCCCCATTCCTGAAAACACTACCCATACAACTCACAGAACGTGAGGAAGTTGAACTAGTGCCTACACAGAGCCTTTTATATTCCAATGTCTTTGGTACAGGTAAGTACTCTCTACACTACCAAAAGAGTAAATAAACTCCAAACCAGTCACAAACCCTGTGATCTATAATGGTATCCTGACTGCAAGATACGCTAGGGCAGTGGAGGCACAGAGCTTGTGGGAGCACCGACCAATGTGTGAGTTGACTTAAGGCCGTCTCCACAAGATGAAATCCATACCTGACACTGTTGGGTGACCAAGAGCCAGAGAAGAGATAGCCCAAGAACCTAAGGTAAAATACTACTGTCTAAAACAAAAATAAAAACAAAAACTATATAGCAATAAAATGACTCCTAATGACATTCTGCTTTACTCATAGAGCAGTGTCTGACGCAGCCACCAGAGAAGCTTCCTTCTGCAGCAGATGGGAACAAACACAGAGATCCACAGCCAGATGTTATGCAGAGAGTGAGAGACCTTGGAACACTCAGCCCTGAATGGGCCGTCTCCACCAAAGCCCTCCCCCTAGGGCTCCAGGAACACTTCCAAAGAGGATGTGAAAAAAAGTGTAAGAGCCAGAGGAGAGGAACCAGGAAAACAAGGCCTTCTACGTCAACTTGATCAAAGCTCATCTGGAGTCTGAGGCAGCATGCACAGGGCCTGCGTGGGTCTGCACCAGGTCCTCTGCCTACACATCAGAGCTCCAGTCCAGCGTGTTTATGGGATTCCTGTGTGGGTCTCTGATTCTTGTGCCTTCTCTTAGCCTCTTTTCCTTCTGTTTGTTTCTCCTGTCCAACTCCTGGCATCATCCCTTCTGCTTCCGAGTTTACAGACACAAATGTTCACTTGGCTTCTACTTTAAAAGCAACCTCTAAGCTCACACTTGTACTTTGATTTGCAAAGAGCTGAGTGATAGGCCCTACTCTCCTAGCAACATAAAAACAAATGTTTATGGACAGCAATGACCTCTCCCAGGGACCACACTTACCGTTAGCCGGGCCGTCTGCACGCTTGGCTTTCCTTCGCTCTCTTTCCTGCTTCCTTTTGCTCTTCTTTGAGGAGACTATCCTTTCCCAGTGTCTCTGTTTTCTTTGCACATTTTTCTTCCATTATCCAGAAAACAAAATTGTTTGAGAACTTCATAAGCACCAGAAAGGAAAATGAACACCCATCACCTTTTTCTCATTTATGTATAAAGTTAGAAAGGAAAAGATTTTTATCTTTAAAAACAAGCCTACTGGCTTGTGTTTATTTTTAATTTTACCACTATGATCTTTTGCTATTTTATTTTCATTGGTGGACATTCACCATGAACATACAGAATTATTATAATTGTGTGCACTGCTCGGGATCCGATCCAGGGCCTTAAGCATGCAAGGCAAGAGTTCTCACTGAATAATCTCCCTTTCCAGGTTATAGTTACAGAGAACATCACCTTCACCCCACCATCCCAAGGCTACAGAAAACTCATCTGGGACAGAATCTTAAAAACAGAGTTTAGAGCCCCTGATTCTTTTTGAGGTATGTCAAAATTTCTTTTAAAATTTTATTCACATTCTTACGACTCAAATAAAAATGAAACCTTAATCCAAGTAGCAGGGAATCAAAACACACAGACTTCATTCTCAGCTCCCTTAATCTCCTGGATCAACCCTTAGAACAGAGATCTCTGCGACACCCATCACAGTGAGCTCACAGGACCCACCGAGCTCCATGCAGCACTGTTTGCAGGGCTGGTCTCTTCTTGGTGTTCACACTCCACATCCAGCTGCAGAAGCTGGAAGCTTTCAGAGAGTCCATCTTCACTTCCGGCCTCTGCGAGGCTTTCTGGTTCCTGCAGGGCCTGTGAGACTGTTCCCTGAGCACTCTCTTCTGACTTACAGTCCATGCGCTGACGTCACTTACACAGCTGATTCCTTACAACCAGAAGACAGATAGTGCTGGTGTGTTAGTGAGGAGCAGGTGTGTGACACTGACCCAGAATGACCGAACCACGGAAAGCACGCTAGACAGTATTCCAGAGAGACACTTCAGCAGTAAAAAAGCCATACGCTTCTCAAAGAACAAGGACCGGATACCTCCAAGTAAGCAGTAGCCACAGAAGGCAAGCTTTTATTGTGTTCTTTGGAAAGCAGTGTGTCAGTTTACTTTCAGATCACTCCTTTAGCATCTACCACATACGAGGTTCTGAGCCAGTTTAAAAAAAAAAGGTATTGTAGATTTCTGGGGTTCTGGTGACAGGTCAGAACGTTTTTTTAAGCCTCAAATCGAACCTATATTTGAGCACCATTACAAGAAGCCAGCCACCTCTGAGGATGCGCAATATTCCTTCCAGGCCTGAGGTTGAAAAATTGTGAGAAGCACCATAACAGTGATGTTCAAACTCCAAAGCAGGGAAGCCAGCGGTGCGTGTGCAAGCTGGCCTAGAACTCAGAGACTCACCCGTCTCTCCGAGTACCAGGACTAAAAGTGTTCACCATCTTACCCTGCTAGTTCAGGGCTTCTTAAACATTTTCTATTTGTAACCCCTTTTTCACTTAGAAAAAATTTAAATTTCCTTAATTATTTATTATTATATGTGTGCCATGATATGTGTGCATAGGTGGTGGGAGTATAAATGTACAGAATGCATATGAAAATCAAAGAAAGTCAGTTTTCTCGTCCCTTTCCATGGACTCTGAGGACAGAAACCAGGTTATCAGGCTTGTGCAGTAAGTGCCTAGCCTTCCTGTGACATCTTGCTGGCTCTCACCCAGGAAATTTTATGCAAGTCTAGGAAGATAGTATATACAAACACACACACATATATACACACACACGACAAATGACTGATAATAAATCATAAAGACACTCATTCTAAAACGACGCTGCTGCTTTGGTGTACAAGTGATTTTAGCATTTATGAAGATGAGAGCACATCTGCATTCTAATGAGAAGGGTGAGCTTGTTTATTTTCACAATAAAGAATTAAATCTTGGCTGGATCCTGGATACTGTTGGATGGAGTGTTGCAGTGTTTTCAGAGTCGACTGGTATTTTAATACTGTAATTGTCAAAGCTGAGATGCCACTTTGCATAAGTATGTGGTACAATGTGGCAGAAGTATATATTTCAGGAATTGTCAGAAATTCTGTGCTAATCCCAACCCAAAATTCAATTAGTAATTTTAATGTTAATTTTTTTTTGTAAAAATTATGTGTATATGTGTATGCTGAGTGTAGGTTTCTGCATGTGTGTGCAGTGCATGCAGAAGCCATCAGGGAGCGCTGGAGTCCCTGGAATTGGAGTTAAGGTGGTTGTGAGTGGTTGTGGATTGGTTCTATAGCCTGCTACATTGCACTCCCAGTAGAGCTTGGTGATTGGGCAGTAGAAGAGGAGGAGAGAAAGAGGGGAAAGGGAGGAGAGGAAGGAGGCTATGGACCATGGAGGAAGACAGATAGGTCAAAAGCAGTCCTGGGTAGCAACTTCTATCAAAAGGTTAGATAATTGAGTAACAACTCTAATTGGTTGGGCATCTTGTGTATTGAGTGTTTCCAAGTATATAAATCCACTGGATAACCATTAAGCTTTAAGAGTCTCGTTTCTACCGGGTACTGCGAGCATGGCAGAGATTGTCTGGGGTTCAGCCGAGCTTTGTGGATTGGCAGAGCCATCCCCCATGCTGGTGTCTCATGGGTCTAGTTGTGTCATGTGCCATGCTTGGCCTCTGGCTGCTTCTAGCTGTGGTGTGCATGGCTTCTGGTGCAGCGGAACATGGCGGCCAGACCTAAGCAGAGCTGCCCTGCCCGATTAGATAGCTGTCCCACGCTGAGATATTTTCTAAATCTAACCTGATACATGGTTCTAATGTTATTTGTGTTAATTTGGCTCTCAAAATTACACCGGAACTGGCATGTCTGCCTGTAAGACATTGAGGGTCCCTGTCTCCAGTTGGCTTTGATTGGTGAAATAAAGTTGCTGGTGGCCAGTGGCTAGACAGGGAGACAGAGGCAGAACTTTAGATTTCCTGAGTAAGGGGGACAAGAAAAGATTTAGAATATCCATGACTGGGAAGCAGGAAAACAGTCTTGAGAGACAGAGAAGCGTGAGTGAACAGCCATGTAAAGGAGCTGGGAGTGCAAGGCCAGAGAGGGTTTCCCAACCTGAGTCCAGGCAACCAGGTTAGAATATAGATTTTAGTAAGTAATAATTCAGGAATATTGGAAGGGAGAGTGTGTTAGCCACAAAGAGGTTTGGAAATGCCCAGCCACCGAGCTGCTTACAGCATATTAAAATTAAGCCGGTGTGAGTATGTGTCTTTCATTCACAAACCCAGAGCATTTTGGCACGGGGTGAGAAGCATACACAACCACCAGGGCGTTTAGAGTGGATTAACAAATTACCACATCAGTGAGCTGCTGCCCAGTGTGGGTGCCGAGAATCAAACTTCAGTCAGCTGCAAGCACAGTACACACCCTTAACTGCTGAGCCACGAGTTAACACAACTTCAGTGAAATTTAAGTCAGCAACCTACAAAGCAGTTTTATTTTTATTTAATTTTTTTATATTTTTATTGTCGTTGTTATTGTTGTATGTGTATTGATGCGTGTGTGTGAGTGTCGGTGTATGTATGCTGTGGTAAACATATATACAGTAGTCAAAAGACAGCTACTAAGAGTCAGCCCTTACTTTGTTAAGCTCTCTGTGCTAAACCATCTCACTGGTCCCAAACAGTAGTTTTAAAAATCAAACATTCCAACACAATACAACCTCTGGGGGGCTAGAGGGATGGCTCAGTGGTTATGTGCACTGGGTGCTCTTCCAAAAGATCCTGGTTCCATTCCCAGCACCCACATGGTGAATCACAACCATCTGTAAACCCAGTTCCAGGGGATCTAAACTCTCTTCTGTCTCTGAAGGCAGCACACACACTGTGTACAGAAATATATGCAAGCAAAATACTCATACACATAAAAATACAAAATAATTAAACAAGTTAAGACCCATGCTAGTCTGGTAGTATTTGGTAGATGCTAACAAACAACAGCAGGCAAACAGTAAGAGTCTGTTTTCCATAATTAAGCATTACGTTTCTGTAAGAACAGAAAATCAGTATGTGGAGCACAACGCTGAAGTTCGGAACACACAGTAGTCTTGTATGTGAGCTGAGGTGTGTCTGGTCATGTTTGCTGGCACTGCGTGGGAGGGATGGTGTGATCAGAGCTAAGGGGTGGACATGTTGTATTCAGAGCCGTGGCTGCAGTAAAGTCACCCGGGACCCATTATGATTTGGAGTTAGTAATTGGTCACTGCATGCTCAGGTTGTTTATTTCCCTTTGCACTCCACCAATCTCAAAACTAACCTGAAATTTAGTTGTTTTAAGTTTGAACTTGAATAGGCTGTTATAGGGAAGAAAACAGCCATCTTAGGATTCAGCCATGTTTTCTGGCTTGCTGCTCCTGAGTGGTGAGACAACATTTATGTCTGTCACAGATTCCCTCCTTGAGGTAAGACAGGCTACCTCACTGAACTGTGAGAAGGACCAGATGTATTTCGCTTCTCTGACAGAATAAGTGCTGGGGAAACACTGGCTGTTTGTTGTTGCTTCTGTCTGAAACCCTTCCAGTGAAGTTCTTGCAGTTTTTCAGTCTCCAGGCAGTTCTGAGTATGCACATCACACCCCTGTGGATGGTCATGTAAATGCTTTCTAGATCTGGAATTGACATTCACCTGCCTGCGAGGGCTGGGGCTTGCTTCAGATTCTACTCGCTCTGTAAGAACATCAGTTTGTCCCTTTGTCCCTTTGTCCCTTTGTCCCTCCCTCCCTCCCTTCCTCCCTCCCTCCCTCCTATGGTACTGAGGATTGAATCCAGGGCTTTGCATGCACTAGGCAAGTACTCTACCCCTGAGTTAGAACACAGTTCTTTTTATTTCTTATATTGAGACAGGGTCTCATTGAACACTCGTGTACCCCAAGCAGGCCTCAAGCCAGTAATCCTCCAGTCTAAGCTTCTTGTATAGCTAGAAGCTTTCAGGTCAAAGCTACTAGGTGCAGGTTAAGTTTTAAATGTTATTTATTTACTGAGTGTATCACATACAAAACTAAGTAGAATGAACATTCTTTCAGAGAAATAAGGAAAACAATTTCAAAAAACATTGTAAAGAACAAATGCAAACTAAGATACTCTGGTCCAGTAAGCAGCAATCTTCCCTTATGAAAGTGAGCAAGCAATTTGTTAAAACATTCTTTAAACATTCTAGCAGTACGGCACTGTGTGGAAAGCAGTGTTGACTATAATCTTTTTAAACTAAAATATCCAGACCCTTATTATGACACTTCTCTTAGAGGGCTACACAAGCTGTTATGCTAATCACCAACATCATTTTTACATGTGTGTGCATGTGTGGAATCGTTGTGCATGTGTGGGTAGGAGTGCACTGAGTGTGAGGTCAGGGGACAATCTCCAGCGTCAGGCATCAGGCACCTTCCACCTTATGTTGAACAAAGGCTTTCACTGAACTGGAACTCAGCTATGCAGGCCAGGCGAGGTGCCAGCAAGTCTCCAGGGATCTGCCTGCCTCTACCTTCGCTAGGATTACACTCAGCCACCACCCTGGCTCAGGTCCTGAGGCCTGTGAAGCCAGCACATTACCAACTAAGCAACTTCCCTGTCTCATCATTTGCTTTGGTTTCCTATGTTTAAGCCATTCAAAGCACAGATGTGAAAGAAGATACACTGGTTCAGAAAGCAACAATCGCCCCTTACTGAAGTGAGCAAACAATTTGTGAAAAAAAACTATAAGGGACCTACATAGACGGCTCAGGAGTAACAAAGCTCTAACCACAGGATACACGTGCCCTGATTTGATAGGATGAGCTGAGTTTATCCCCTGGAACTCATGTGCCATGGCTCACGTACCCACACACACTATATACAGACAATAATTGAATACCTTCCCCAATAAAACTGCTAAGGCTTAAAATCTGGCATTTGCCTACTATTCATAAAGCCCCAGGTTTGATCCCAAGCAGCACTGAATAAAAAAAGGAAAATATAGGGTTTTTTTTTTTTTTGTTTGCTTGCTTGTTTGGTTTTTTAAGACAGGATTTTTCTGTAGCAGCCTCTGGCTGTCCTGAAACTTGATTTGTAAACCAGGCTGGCTTCGAACTTTCAGAGATCTGCTTGCCTCTGCCTCCCTAGTGCTGGGATTAAGGCATGCGCCACCATGCCCAGCAAGAAAGGCATTTTTTTAACAGCCAAATTTCACAGCATTTGTCTTCTTATCTGTGCGTGACTATTTCTTTGACCAGTAAGCATGCCTGGTGCCTCCTACATGACAGGCCCTGTTGGGGAATGAATGGATATACTGATGTCTCTTTGGAAGTCTGTCTGAGAAGGAAAAAGAGGATAGGAGAATTTTGGGGGGCTCTACAATTTCCCATGGCTGCTGCTCAAAAAGCTTGAAAGCTGGGTTGATATTTTTCTCACCACACTGAATTCCTTTAAAGGACTCTACATACATGGCTGGAGAGATGGCTCAGCGGTTAAGAGCACTGGCTGCTCTTGCAGAGGACCTGGATTTAGTTCTCAGCACACACACAGTGGTTGACAACCCTCTGTTAACTCCAGTTCCAGGGAATCCAAAGCTCTCTTCCAGCCTCCAAAGGAATAAAAGTTCACAGATATACATAAGATCAAAATACTTATACACACAAAAATAAAAATCAATAAATCTTAAAAAAAAAAAAAAACCAAAGACCTTGGAAACAGCAATATTTGGTATCTGTTGGACTTAACCACTTTCTTTCTTGTTCCTCACGCCTTTCTAAATTCTATAGTCCCTGAAGATGTTTTTCATACCAGGAGATCAAATAGAGACAAGAACAACCACCACCCTAAGCATCTATGTTACACGTGAGAGCACACTCCTGAAGGCACAGCCCACCTTTCTTCAGCTTTGCACCTTTGGTGGACAGCATACATGCTGGCCACACAATGGAAATCAATAAATGCAGAACAGAGGTTATCATCTAAGGGTCCTCAAAAAGCCAAGGTGTAGCTGAGCATCAAGACATACAGACCTGGGGGCTGGAGGCCTGCTCAGTGGTTAAGAGTGTTTGCTCTTCTTAAAGAGGACCAGGGTTCTATCTCCAGCACCTATATCAGGGAGTTCATAACTCCCTATAGCTGATCTCTAGGGGGTCAGATACCTTCTTTTAGATTCTGATGGCACTTGCACCTACACACAGGTATGTGTGCATGTGTGAATACACACACATGTATATGTACACACACATAGTTAAAAATAAATCTTAAATAAATACAGATCTGATGAACATTATCTATACCTAGACTTGGTATTTTACCTCTTAGTTAAAATATCTTTTCTAAAGGCAGGGATAGTGGTATAACTGTAACCCCAGCAGTTTAGAGGCTCAGGCGTGGGGTGGGAGGACTGTGAGTTCTAGCCCAGGCTAACCCACACAGTGATTATATCCCATCTCAAATGGATCTTTCTGAGCCTAAGCCATTCAACAGTTACTAACAAACTGACACAATAATGGTATATCCTGGGGATTTGGTGGCAACATTCACTCCATCTTTGTGAGGTTCCAATTTTCAACTGCTTTGAGTTGAAAACTCAACTCAGACTCGTCCTCCTGTTTCCCTACTGTACAAACAAATCCTTCTAGAAACTGCACTGAGCCTCACACAGTAAAGAGCATCCTAGGACCAGGAAAGTAACTCAGTAGAGTGTTTGCCTACCACGCACAAAGCCCTGGATTCAAACACGTAACATAAACCAGCTATGACAGCTCAGGTAATACTAGCATGAAGAGGAAGGAAACAGGAAACAGGAGGGTCTGAAGTTCATAGTCATCCTTGGCTATATAAAGACTTTGAGGTTAGTCTGAACTACCTGAGACCCTGTCTCAAAAGAAATAAATCTGTGAAATATATATATTCATAAATATGTAGTAATAGATATATAAAAGCATCTAAATGTTGGAAAATTATACCAGTCTTCTGCCTAGAATCAGCAGTATTTTCTATTTCACTTACAGTAACCCAAAATCTACACAATAGCTACACAGATCATTAAGGGCTATCCCTTCTGTCAATTTTTTTCTAAAGGATTTATTTATTTGTCTATATGCTTATTTATACACAGGGTTTCACTATGGAGTTCCTAGCTAGCCTGGAACTTGCTATATATAATCAGGCTGGCCTTCAACTCACAAATCTGCCCTGCCTCTGCCTCCCAAGCGCTGGGGTTTAAAGGCCCAAACGTTCATCCATCCATTCATCTGTTTTCTTGAGACAAGATTTCTCTGTACCCTGGTTGCCCTGGAACTCCCTCTGTAGACCAGGGTGGCCTCGAACTAACAGGCAGAGAGGTCTGCCTGTCTCTGTCTCCCGAATTAAAGGTGAGCACCACCACACCCGGCCTATATAATTTTAAAAAAATTATATATGTGGCTATGTGCGCATGAGTTGAGGACAGGTGTCTGTGGAAGCAAGGGGCAACGGATCGCCTGGACCTGAAGTTACAGGCAGTCATGAATCGCTCAGACATGGGTGCTGAGAACCAAACTCGGGTCCTCTGCAGGAGCCATCGTTCCTGCTAGCCCCTCCTCCATCGTTTTCTTTTGCTTTCTGTGGTCCACCTGTCCCCCAAACATACTAAATATCCCAATGTCTCTGCATAAACTGTTCTCTCTGCCCACATGCTCTTTCTTTAATCTCACATATCGTCAGATCATGCATATTTTCACTATCCAACACCACCTACTTATTTTTTGTCTGATTTTCCCACACCGTTCCAATACAAGTTCTGTTTACTCAGAGTCTCAATAAATACTTTGAGTTAACACCGCCATCTCTGCCTTAGACCCTTTTTTAGCCCAAGTCCCACCTGATGAGCACAAACGCCGTCGCTAAGTTCCACTCATCCTCTGTTTGCACAGGTCTCATTTTCTCATTCTGAGTCCTACCACCCTCAGCACTAGAACCACACGCTTAGACCCCAGGCTGCAGGGAACGCGGGTCACGCTGGCTCGCGAGCTGCGACCGAGGAAAGGCAAGACTTAGATGTCCCAGGGTTGTGGGATGCCACGGCCTCTCGGTGGGACCCCGCAGTCTCTAATCAACCCTCAATACCTTGGCTTACCTAATACAGCTTGCTCAGACGAGATCAAACACAGTTGTCCCCGCACCAGCACCACTTCCGGTTCCTGACTAGCTTTGAGTGGACTTCTGGGAGTTGTAGTTTTCAGTCTAGCAACGCAATAGAAGATGCCAGTAGATAGCCTGGACTTCTATACGCTGGGTTATCTGTTAGTTGAGGACGGCGATTCCAGGTCCTCGTAGACCTCACATAGTCAAACAGGTGACTAGTCGCTTTCTGGGGTGAACCAAGCTTTAAACCACCTACCTTGTCTCTTTGGTCAGTATGGGGGACCTTATGATTCCCTGGGTTTCCCTTCAACCAGCAGGGGTCATGAGCTAACACAGCCCTTTCCTGAGCACACAGGGTCCTTCTGCCGCCAGACTGTCCAAGTTCAAAGCCCAGACAAGATTGAGCAGGCAAGGAGTCTAGTGGCTGGTTACATACCCTGTGCATCTCCCTTCACAGATCAACCCAGAAACAGGCTCAGATGCATGAAGCGACTAGTCCAAGCTTTGTCTTTACTTATTTTTTTAAGATTTATTTTTGTTCATATGTACGAGTGTTTTGCCTACATATGCATGTGCACTTCGTGTATGCATGGTACTTGGGGAAACCAGAAGAGGGTATTGGAATCCCGCTCTCCTTCTCCTCCCCTCCCCTCCCCTCACCTCCTCAACTTGCCACCCCCGCTGGAACTGGAGTTACAGAGAGTTATGAGCAACCATGTGGGTGCTGGGAACCAAGCCTAGGTTCTCTGCAAGAGCAACCAGCACTCTTGACTGCGGAACCACCTCTCCAGCGCTCGACCGCTAGCCTTGTGTTGATACAGACTATCTGCTACTTTCCGCTCAATTCCAGCACTCCTAGGAGTCCCGTTCTTTCAGAGAGATCCTATAATAAATGAGCCTGAATTTTCAAAAACCCGAAGCCTGGTTGCATTCCTTCTTGGTGCACTATTTTCTCCTCTGGACTTTTCTTGGTACAACATCTCCCAGTCCATACGTCAATCTAATTAAAAACAAAATAAAACAACAACAACAACATCCAGGGTCTTATTACACAACCCAGATTGACCTCAAATTTGCTCTCCTCCTTCCTCAGTCTTGCAAATGCTGGATTATAGTTGTGTGTTCCACCATGCCGAGTATTTTGATTTTTTTTTTTTTTAAGGTTTTTCGAGACAGGGTTTCTCTGTGTAACCTTGGCTGTCCTGGAACTCACTCTGTAGACGAGGGTGGCCTCGAACTCAGAAATCCGCCTGCCTCTGCCTCCCAAGTGCTGGGATTAAAGGCGTGTGCCACCACTGCCCAGCGAGTATTCTGATTTTTAAAGGTTAACATAAACAGTCTTTTAATCCTACATGACCCGTCTGGCCTCTGCCTTCATGCTTGGTTGCAGCTTGCAAAGCGGGTCACATGGCCTGCAATGGTGCTTTCGGATGTGAGCTCACAGCCACCAGTCCCTTTGCCTCGTATTCAGCCCCAGTGAACTCCTCTGCACCCTCATGCTCGGCGGTCATTTTGCTTCTCCCACAGATGAAGAAGACATCCTAGCTGGTCTTGCTGTCTTTCTGACTGCCTCCACTTCCATCTAGGCCCCCACCCACCCACCCAAAGATGCCTCAGCAGTTTCCCGTGGTACTTGGGTGTAGTTAATACCCAACTCTATCCTCATGGCCTTGCAGTACCCAGTCCTGTAGCTCCTCAGTTCTAACTGCTCTGGCCTTTCAGTGCTTTAAGCACACTCTATTTCCTCTCCTATTTTTACAGCTGGGTTTTTTAAATGACTGTTATTTTTTAAAAAACATTTATGTTATTCTATGTGCCTGTTTGTGTACCAAGGACAAGCAGGCAGCCATGGGAGTCAGAAGAGGATGACCAATCCCCAAGAACTGGAATTACAGATGGGGATAGAACCCTGTTTCTCTGTAAGAGCACCAAGTGCTCTTAACCACCGGGCCATCTCTTCAGTCCTAGTTCTTACTAGTTCTTTAAGTTCCAACTTAAACAGTCTCCATTCAGAATACCCTTTTCTGGTGACACCAGGTAAGGCTGGCTCATTTTTTTTGTCTTGGTATCTTTTTGCCTGTTGTTGTTTTTGTTAAAAAAAATTATTTGTTTATTTTATGTATATGAGTACACTGTAGCTGTCTTCAGACACACCAGAAGAGGGCATCAGATTCCATTACAGATGGTTGTGAGCCACCATGTGGTTGTTGGGAGTTGAACTCAGGGTCTCTGGAAGAGTAGTCAGTGCTCTTAACCACTGAGCCATCTCTCCAGCCCCGTCTTGGTATCTTTTTAAAAAGCCACTTCCATGTCTGTAATTTTTTGTCTTTCCTACTAATTAGATGTCTTTTGAGAGCTGTGCGTGGTGGCACATGCCTTTAGTCCCAGCTCTTGGAGGGCAGAGGAAGGCAGATCTCTGTGAGTTCAAGGCCAGTCTGGTCTACATAGTGAGTTCCAGGACAGCCAGAGCTACATGGTTAGACTATGTTAAAAAAAAAGGGGGGGGTTGGGGGAGAGGTCCCTTAAGGAGCCCATGTATTTTACCTGTTGTCACTGCATAGAAGACACTAGTTGACAGAATGATTTTTTTCTCTCTTAACATCTAAATCCTACCAAATCTCAGGGCCTTACACATGACATCCAATAAATGCTTCTTAACACACAGCCCGAATCAGTGCTGACTCTTACAGGAAGCCTTCCTTGATTCATTTCTCTTCACACATCTCATCCTGCCTTCTCTGTGGCGACCCAGAGCTTTGTCATTCTCTAACTGTAGAAGTCATCCAACCTCCATCAAGAACCCTTGAATACAGGATGCTCACCTCCCCTGCTTCAGGAACAGAAAGTATCAGACAGAATGCCTTCCCTGTGCTTTAGCTTCTCAGTTAGCAATTGTTCCTACCATTTCTGGACCTTACTCTTCCTTATGGGAACCACAGAGAAAAAGAAGAGCAACCAAAGAAAGGTGGAAATATGCTGCATGCCTCGGCTGCAGGCCTCAGTCTTCTTCCTCCTGTCCATAACTGTCTCACAAAACTATTACACATGTGCAACAATGTAAAGGGTTATATTTTACAAAGTATTCATCGGGGCAGTGGTGACGCCTTTAATCCCAGCACTGAGGAGGCAGAGGCAGGGTGATCTCTGAGCTCAAGGCCAGCCTGGTCTACAGATGGAGCTCCAGGACAGCCAGGGCTACAACAGAGAACCCTTGTCTCAAAACAAAACAAAACAAAACAAAACAAAAAACAAAACAAACAAACAAAAAAACCCCAGAAGTATTCAAACTATCTGCAAAAGGCTTCTGGCATACTGTAGGTTTTAGTTCGTTGAACTCAAAGATGGTTTGGCAAATCAGGACCCAGCCTTTAGTGAAGTCTCACCGGTGAATGTTGAGACCCAGTCCATAGCAATAAGCAATTGGGATCTTCCAAGTCCTCTTCCACACCACCCAACTTGCTTTTAGCCTGGTGTCCTGCTCCTTTTAAGTCATGAAATCTCTTCCAAGTTACATTCAAGAGCTTAAGGTTTATTTGGAGCTTTATAAGGAACACTATTCTGAGGAAACTAATCCTCTCTGGGCACACGTACTGATTAACGCCTTATTAGGTAACACGTATCTGGGAGTGGGATGGGAGGGACATGTGCTCCTCTCATGACAGAGGATGGCTTCCCTTCTGCTTAGAGAGAGCACAGGGAGTGGTCTCACCGATCCTGCTTTTCCTGGGCAAGGTGAGGCATTAGGGTGCCTTGCATCAACCTCCTATTGTATCAGTAACAGGAATTAAAAACGGACCCCTTTGATGACATCTGACAGTCCAAAGTGAGCCACCACGACACATTTGACCAGACAGGAGAAGCCAGAGCAAAAGGTGTCCCAAAGAAATCTTGAAACAAGTTTGTTTGGAGTGGAGATGCAGTGTGTGTGTGTGTGGGGGGGTGGTGGTGGGGTGGGATGGGGCGGGGTGAGGACAGAGCATTGTTAGCAGTACTCACTGACAATTTACTATTTCCTAGATTTCTGTCCCTTTCAAGTGGATGAGTCTTTTCGTGTAAAAAAGAGAAAACCCAACTCATGAAGAGTTTATGCAGCTTGTCCATGCCCATGGTGGGTAAGGACGATTAACTTGATCAGCTGGGGCCAGTGAGGGAAGGATTGATAGTATCCTTCTGATCTAATATTGTTCTAGTAACGGCAACTTTCACTCCTGGACTTACTGCTTGCCTTATGATATTAAAAACGGAGACAGCATGTAAGATTCAGGGGTAAAGTTTCAGATAAAGCACAGGATAACCCTCAACATGGGTGACCAAGCAGCTACGTCAGTGGTTCTCCCAGCCTGTGGCTCACAAGACTCTTTCACAGGGGGTCGCATATCAGAAATTTATATTACAATTCAAGACAGTAGAAAAATTACAGTTATGAAGTAGCAACAAAATAATTTTATGGTTGGTGGTCACCCTAATATAAAGAACTGTATTAAAGAGTCACAGATCATTGAGCTGAGGAATTTACTGCCACCTAGTGGTAAGCTGTGCTTGCAGCGGATATGTAGCCAAGCATATCAGGTTTGTCTGGCCCAGGTGCTACCTTAGGAGGGTCGAACCTATCAATCACACACATATCCACCTGTCTGCGTAGATTGTGCCAAGTCAGTGTAACAGGGGAACCAAGAGCAGCAATTCCTGTGTTCTTAGGACAAAATCCGACTTTTTTTTTTTTTTTTTTTTTTTTTTTGCCTGATACCTGGCTTGCTGGCTGGACATCTACTCATCTGTACCCCAGCACATCTGATCCAGGAAGAAAGGCTCATGTCATACAGCCTGTTTTCTCAAGTTCCCAGTGCACATCTGGTGCAAAGGACTGTTGACTTGAGTATAAGTGACCATTTTT